CTGCTGAATCGTACTGCTCCGTATGCAACACATCGTTTGGCTGAAACATTTGAATCCACAAGAGTCAGCTGCTTTAGGATGTATTTGAGTAATAGGCTTCACCTGCTATGAGAGGAATGTTTGTTAGCATGAGGAATAAAGGAGCCCACCTGAAACACAATCCTCCTTTCCCCACTACTGTAGTACATGCAAAATTCAAAGACCGCTAAAGGAAATGTAATACAATTAAATAAGAGAGGGAAATTTAAATTGATTGAATTAACACTTGTCATCTTTGATTCAATAAAGCTTCCTCTTCTGAAATTATCTAAAGCTCCTGGAGAATTTCCAACTTATTGCAGAACTTGGCGTCGTAATGAAGCTGGCATTAGTAAAATATTTTTAAATATTCTTATGCCACACACAACTCAATTATCTTTCCTTCCTTCTAGGATCAATTAATCAAGCTAGAAGAATCAAATCTCACTTTTGCAACACCTGCCTTTCCTGAAAGATAATTTTAACTGTATCACAGCAGCCTAAGAACTGTTGGATTTGCATCCTGAAACTGAAAATACATGTTGTTACCTCAGAATATACACCAGATAAATGTGATTCACAATCCTTCATAAAATGTTTCCCCTTGCCAGAAAAACATTCAAAATCAAGAAGAGCATCCCCAGGTGGGGTAAAAAACAGCAAATCGTTCTCACTTATGCTTTTATTTTGTTATTATTGCTTGATAGAGTAAAAAAAATAGAGGCATCTTCAAAGGTTTGTTTCCCCTGAAGAAGCAATTGAACATAAAGAGAATTCACACTCTGAGAATGTTAGATTCCATTTATTTTGCCCATATATGCCGTATCTCTTCATTTACAGTCCTCCACCTCTCCTAAGTGAGCTCAGGTTGTAAATTGTTTAGGCTTCCACAGCATCTTGCCCAATGGGGTCCAGACTGGAGATTTTGTAGGAACAACCAATGCTACACAGAGTTTGCTGTTGCCTGTGGGAAGCACCTGCTGCATTTTGATCATGACCTGCAGTGAAAAAAATTTTTTCTGCCACCTGTCATGGTCAGGACTAGATGATCCTACAGGTCTTCATGATTCCAAGATTCTAAAGCTGAGTGGTGCAGCTTTAGGAGAGGTTTGCAGCTTAGGGCTGGTTTCAAATGGTGCTTGTTAAGGCTAAGGAGAGATGAGGACAAATGTCCAAACTGCCTGTTTTCCCTCACTGATGGATGAAGCGGTTCTATCGTCATAAAATCATAGAATATAGAATCACAGAGGTTGGAAAGACCACCTCATTCACTTGGTCCAACCACCAGCCCACCCCCACCATGCCCACTGACCACATCCCTCAGTGCCACATCCACACGGCTCTGGAACACCTCCAGGGATGGTGACTGCACCACCTCCATGGGCAGCCTGTGCCACTGCAGCACCGCTCTTTCTGAGAAGAAATTTTTCCTAACATCTGACCTGAACCTCTCCTGGTGCAGTTTGAGGACATCACCTCTCATCCTATCTCCTAAGCTGGGAGAAGAGCCTGACTCCCACCTCACTACAGCCACCTTTCTGCTTGTTGTAGAGACTGAGATCCTCCTTTTGAGCAGGGCCCCATCTCCCAGGTTGGAGTCCCTGATGGAGCAATCCGAGCTGCCTCCATCTGATGGAATCTGAAGGCCCATCAGCTCTGCACAGCTGATCCCCACAGCCCGCTTCTCCCCTTAACAATAAAGTCTTAAGCTTGCCGAGGTAATAGGTTTTCACAGCCAGAGGAAGGTGAGTGCCAAGGATTATTAATAGTGTTCCTTAGTTAAGGAAAAGATAAATGTGACACCGTCACCAAAATCCCTGAATATCAGATACCAGTGAGGAGTGGGTATCACATGCTAAAAATAGAAAGAGCAGGAGAGATTATATAAGTGGGGTCCCTACCCCGAGTTCCACTTCTTTTTGACCACCTCCGTATCTAAGAACCTTTTCAGGAGTGCTTAGGAGAGATCCAAAAGGTAAGTAGAGAGAAAATGTTGAAACTTCCACAGAGAAGGTGGATTTGCTCGATTCGGGCAGAATCCCGGACCTCCTCCCGACCGGACTGTAAACGGGGAAACGCTTCCATCACTCTGATCCTATGGCCCTTCCCACAGACAAAAACCGAAGGACAAAGAGCTGCAAATCTCCCCGCACAGAGGAGTGGATTGCCGCAGAGAAGATTCCGGGACATTAGGAAGAGGAAACGAAACACATTAAGGGGGGATGAGAAGAAAAATAAAAGCGGGAAGAAAGTGAGAAAATGGAAACAACGGAAGAGGGAAGGGAGAGGGGAAAACGAAGGAGAACGAGAGGATTCCTATAGCAGAATTCACTGAAGCGCTCAGTCGCACACAGAAGATGAAAAAGAAAAGAAAACAACTCCAAAACACGTGGCAGAAAGGAAATGTCTCGTTATGAGCAGACGATGGGATGAATGCTCTCCCCTTAATGCTGTCATTAGGAAGATGGATGTGTCACCCTTCTCGCCTGCCTGCAGATCGAGCTGCTGGCGTGGGGCTTCTGCTGCTTCCTCCCGTTCTCTCGACTCGTCTTGCTTTGGCAAGGGCGGCTCGATTTCGACATGATTTCCTCGATGCTGGTGAGGGCATCAACGCGTTGGTGCTACAGGAAGGGGGAGATATCTCTGCGAAAGCCCTGCAGTCAGCTTGGGAATGCACGGTGTAGATTTTGCAGGGGAAAAAAGAAGAAAAGAAAAAAAAAAAAAAAGAGAGAGAGAAAGAAATTGGCAAAAATTCAGCAATAAAGCAAAACGTGTCATTCATCCTGGAGGGATGATGTGGAAAAGGCGAGGGGTCGAGTGTGAAACTGCCAATTCGTGAAACGCCTTGTATATGTTAGGATAGCTTATATTAGGACAGCATATATTAGGATAACATGTATTAGGATCACAGTTGTGACTAAAGCTGGGCGGTTGAAAGTTTCTGGAATTTTGCTGGCGGATGCTGCGCCGAGATTAGAGACGGGCCTGGGCCACTGCTGCATTTTAGATCCCCTTTGTGCCGCTTTGTAAACCCTACATGCGGCTGCTTTGACTTTCTACGGGAAGTCTGGGGACAGTGGGCTCCGTGCTACACAAAGGGTCCCAACTGATGGATTGGCAGCTCTGCTGGCTTTTCTCACTTCTTCCTTTCCACAATAGGCTGAGGCCTGAGGGGTTCCCGCATCGTTAGGGATGGGGGGTGCCAGACCAGGGTGCGGATCAAGGCTTCGGGCAGGAGGCTCCGAGCACTGCAGCTCTCTGTCAGTGCTCGGCTTGGGTTACGTGCGGGGGAGGGCAGCCTTCTAACAGCGCAGCCGTGTCAGCAGAGCGGGGCCGACACCGAAACCCGATTCACCCGCAACGAGAGCATCTTCGGAGGCCGATGGGCAGCAGCCAGCCCCGCTCGTGGAGACCCGAAGGGAGGCTCTGGGGCTCCAAGGGAGAAGTAACCTCGGCGACGGGGTCACAAAAGAAAGTGAAAAAGTGGTGGAAGGTGAAGCCCGGCTCCTGAGCAGATGGCACCAATGCTGAACATGGCAAAGGGGACGAGGATGTCCTAGCAGGATGGAGGTGTCTCCAGTGGGAAAAGAAAAAGAAAAAAAAAAAAAAAAAAAGAGAGAGAGAAAAAAAAGATCTCCCATCAATATGAACAAGTAAAGAGACGCCAATTACAGAAAATCATGCAACCAGCACGGTGATTTCTCCTGTTAATGGTTGTATATTGGCGGGACTACAATTAACCTGTGTAAAACAGGGAGATGACTGACTGCACTGTACGGAGCTTCTTGAGCTCCATCCTCAGAGCCGAACTCCACCACTTCTGCACCGCGCCCTTCCACCTCCCGGCTCCGAAACCACTGCAGGAAATATTGGGGCAGCTGAGGAGAGCGGAGCCCTCCGGGTTGAGTGTGCACCCCGTCCTGTGGGTAAAGGAGATGGATGCTGCTCCTCCATCCATTACCAATGTTTGTCTGTCCTTAAAGACAACAAAGACTCTCTTGTATCCTAGGAAATACATAGAAATTTCGGGGGGGGGGGGGGGGGGTGGGGGGGGGGGAGGAATGGTTCCGAACGACGGTCGCTCCCACAGGGAAGACTTCGCTGTTTAAAACAGAAAAGAGAAAAGAAGGGACCCCAACGTCACCTCCTCCTCCGTCCTTCTGCGCTCGGTGACACGCTAATGACTCACCCGCTGGAGCTGAGCTCGGGCCGCCTAGGTGAGGGTGTGCGAGCTCGTGCTTTTACCAAGGGATTACCGACAGCCAGACGCTCCTGCAAAGCAGCCCCCTCCTTTTTGAGGCCGCTCTGGCGTTCGGGCCATGGGTGCCATTGCGTCAGAGGGGTCGGGCAGGAGCTGCTGACAGCGGGTGGGGATGCTGCTGCCACACCGCCTCCCTCCCCGCCTGTCCTCAGGCAGAGATGCCAGTGTTCCTACCGAGATCTGCCCTACTCCTGGGCCCTAACCTTGGCTACCTCAACCCTATGGCTCCTGCCCAAACTCTGCGACCGGGTTGCACCCGAGGTGAGAAACACGGGCACTGTCTCTTGAAGCAAATAAACCTAGAAAACACAGAATCCGTCAGTCCTTTTAGCTGCTCCTTTGAGGCTGTGGGTCCCTCTTGAGGACCCCGGCGCCCTGCAGGAGCTCGGCACGAGTGCGGGGTCACCTCCCGCTTCCCCTTCGGCGGATCCCAGCGCGGAGGGCTCTGCAGCACAGTGCGAGCGGCAGCCGTGGGATTCGCGGGGATGTGATAATGAATTCAGCGCGGATGATGCTTAATATGGAGTGGCCCGAAAGAAACGAGGTCTAAGGGGGAGGGAGGGAGAAGGGGGGGCGGGATGGAAGGGGGACGTTTCAAGTGTTTGAACGAGAAAGCAAACGTTCACGAGCTCCGTTCTATTTGCTCCCCGACCCCAAAAGCTGCTTGAAGCTTGGCATATGCTGCAGTTCCGACTACAACTGCTAAAGCTCATTCCGACTTCCCCAACAGAAGGGATCCGCTCTGCAGTTCCACCGCACCCGAGGACTTGACCTTGGCACGGCCGCTCCGACGCAGCCCCCGCAGCGCTCCCGTAAGGCACCGCCCCGCAGGGAGCGCACCCGGCCGGGTCCCCACGAAGGCATCCCCGTACCCCGTCCTTCAGGGGACCGCTCCGTACGCACCGAGGGAGCGGCAGCCCGTGGCATTCCGCCACAAGCAGCTTTATCCGTGGCTGGCGCCGGGCCAGCCGCTCCCGACGTGCCATCATCCCCACACGGCACTGCAGCTTTGGTCATATGAGCAGAAATGATGAGAAAAGCACTTTTTTAATCTTTTCGCACTTGCTTCCCTGTTCAAACAGTTGCAGGATGGCGATGACTGACGTGCTCAGCGCTGAGGATATCAAGAAGGCTGTGGGAGCCTTTTCAGGTGAGTGCTTAATTTTCTTTCTTTCTTTTTTATTTTTTTTTTTCTCCTCCCTTTCGTCTCTCCAGCCCAGGATGTAGTGCATTTATTTAAGCTCGGGGAAGATTACAGCTAGATTAGATAGCAAAAAGGATGCGTTTTTAGAAGTGCGGCGAAGGCGTGACAGGTTTATCAGGTGCAGGACTGCATCCTCAGCAAAGTTGCTCTGCACATGAAGGAGGTGAAATGCTCGCTCCTTTTTAAAGGAAGGTAAGCAGCAGCTGCAGGCTGTGCTTTGCTCGTGAGAGACTTCTAAGGGAACCGAGGGGGATTACGTCCTGATGCAGGATAGGGACGGCGGCAGCTTTCCAGCCATCTAACATTCAGTTTCAAGTACTGCAGAACTGCTCTTTTGCATTTCAAGGAGATGAAACCCGCTCTTTCCTTACTCCCTGTGCGGAATCCCCCAACTGGCTTTGCTTTTCGGGATGGAGCTGAAGGCACAGCAGCAGAGCAAGCGAGTGCGTTGCTCGACTGCAGGAGCTTTCTGCAGGGCGAATGGCTGCAGCGGACCCTACGTCCCATATATCTCGGGCTCCTCCGGTGTTCAGATATTCCTCATCTCTTCTCAAAACTGACGGCAAACCCTTTTCGTGCTTCGTGCTCTGACTGTTAAGGGTTGCCCTCAAGGAAACGGCGGCGTTGTGCCCCCCCCCGTCCCGAAGTGCCTTTCTCTCCTGCTCTGTGCGGTGACCTTCCCGAACAGAAGCAGTGCAAAACCCGCTGAGCCCCAACAAACTCAGCAGCCACAAAGTCGTGGGGACCAACGAACTGCTCTGCTAGATCCGGCAGCTGTTTTCCTCATTAGCTCCCATTGTTCCAGGGCCGTTTCCAAGTCCCGGAGCAGAAGTAATTAGGAGCTACTAATGACGGGTCTCAGCCAAGCAGATCTCCAGTGATTGATCTTCCTTCGCTTTATGTAATAGGAAAAGCTGAGGAGGGAACAAAGATGCATAATGATAATAATAATAATAATAATAATATTTCAGCACCTTGTGGAGGTGACGGGATTGGATTTTAGCAGCACCTTTCTAGGCTGCACCATAGCCGTTAGCAGGGGGCTGCATGGGTGGGACAGAGGTGGTTTGGTTAAAGGATGCAGCAGGTAAACCCCATGTATTATCTTTTCTCTGATCACCAGGGCTCTGCTTTTTCCCCAGTTACTGTGTCTCAGAGGGTCCTGTTGGCACAGCACAGAGCCCGAGCTTACAGACAGTGATTGCACACGCTTTTAGTGGTAGGAATACTCTGCCAATTTCAGGCGAGCCTTCAGGAAAAACGGACTAGAACTGTACGAGCCATGTGCACTAAAATAGATCCTGTCCACGGGGGTGGAAATATCAGAAAGTGACAGTGGTCTAATAGGCGGAGTTTGCTCTCTGAACACTTCTCTTTTTTTAGTGTAAAACTCAGCAAGACATATTTTAAGGCACTGAAATGAGAGTGGGCAGGTTAGTCTTCAGCCTCCAACTCTGCATAGAGTTCCTGTGTGACCTTGGGCAAGTCTCCATCCCTCTGTAGCTCAGTTCTTCATCTGCAAAATGGAAACAGTGCCCTTCTCACCATTTGTTTATTTAAACGAGTGTTGTGAAGCATGACTACTGCAGTGTAGGTATTTAGCTCCTGCCACAGCAAGGCTAGAATGTACTTTTGCCTCCCAGGGTGGAACACGAAGCAGTAAGGAAAAAAAGCACAGGGTTATGTATGTATATAAGTTTTAAAGATTTTTCTAAACCATTCTATGGCTTTTCACCCCCTTATAGCAGCCGAATCTTTTAACTACAAGAAGTTTTTTGAGATGGTGGGCTTGAAAAAGAAGAGCCCAGAAGATGTGAAGAAGGTTTTCCATATCCTTGATAAAGACCGGAGTGGCTTCATTGAAGAGGAAGAGTTAAAGTAAGTAAAGATATGGTGTTTCTCAAATAGCCTCACCTTAAGAGTCTGATCTCTTTTTCACAGGACTGTAGATAACAGCTTATGGTTCAGCCTCCCAGCTGGTACTTGTGTGCAATAATCAGTTGTTTGCTGGTGAAAGAATGATAGTGTGTTGGAGTTAGCTAGCTGAGGATCCCTCAGACTCGTGAGTGATCAATACCTCATGGATGGTACTTCACTTAGATTCAGAGCACAGTGCTCTTTCCAGATGATAAAGAGCGGTGCTGCGGTGGCACAGGCTGCCCAGGGAGGTGGTGCAGTCATGGTCCTGGGGGTGTCCCAGAACCGTGTGGATGAGGCACTGAGGGACGTGGTCAGTGGGCATGGTGGGGATGGGCCGATGGTTGGACCAGGTGATCTTAGAGGTCTTTTTCAACCAAAATGATTCTGTGATTCTATGACCTCTGCTGAAGGCACAACCATGGATTCCACCTCAAATATGGAAACAGCAATGCAAATAAGTACTAAAAAGAAGTTTCAAAGTGAAACTGTTCTGATACAAACAAATAAACAAACAACAATTTTCCTTTTTTTTTTTTTTTTTTTTTTTTTTTCCATTCCTCCTCCTTAGGTTTGTGCTGAAGGGCTTTACCCCAGATGGCAGAGACCTATCAGACAAAGAGACAAAGGCTCTTCTGGCTGCTGGAGATAAGGACGGTGATGGTAAAATTGGCGCTGATGGTACGTAACCAGAGGCATAAACTTCCATAGGAAAAATCCAGTATTACTCTTACACATAAGAACTGAGTAAAACTAGGAATCACCGCGGGCTGTGACCTTCTGAAGGGCACAATGTGGGTTTAGTGAAATGTCAAGCCTTGCTACATTGCCCGTACCTTGCTCGCAAGGCTTCAGGGGAAATAGGAGCCGAATTCTGACACTAGAGGGGGCAAGAGTTTAGAGTTCGGTTTGTAATTAAGGGACGTAGGAATAAATACCAACACAACTTCTTCTTTAAGTCATTTTATTCTTTCTCAGTGCAGGGTGGGTCAGGACACTGAGACTTCACAGAGAGGTGTGAATATAGAATTTAGAAAAGAAAATAGCTGAGTACCAGCATTTTGCCTTGGTGACTATTGAAAAAGAAAGAAATGCTTTCTGAAATTGTTCAAAGCCTTGCAATGTCCTTAAAATTCAAAGTACAGTCAGTCTGCCGCCACGGAGTCATCCAATAACAGTCCATCCACTCTGCTAGTGTCTGTGTAGGTCTTCACACCTAAAGACCTCATCACCCTCTTTTTCTAAGTATGAGAACTACAAAGAGTGAGAAATTCCCTCTCACAGTGTTGCTTTAAAAAAATTACTTCTGTTTTCAATATCCCCTTGGGATGAATCAAATTGGCCCACAGGAAAATGTTCTCTCTTTTCTTTCTCCATCTTTTTCTTCTGTATCCCTGAGACAAGCTGGAAGAGGCATTTCTGAATTACATGCTTCCTCACTGCAGGAGATGATAGCAGGGGACTGTGGCCAGAGAGCACTAAATCATTCAGACAGCAGGCAATTGCTAAGTTTTCACCGTGCTGATAAGCTACATGATAGGTTGAAGTGTAAACATATCTTTAAAAAAATAATAATAATAACCTCACATCTCTCTCACCTGAACTCTGAGATCAATACAAAAACGTCGTCTCCAAATAAAAAGCAATTATAAAAAGGAATAAAAGGCAAAATGAGGTTACCCGACAGTCTCCTAGTTTAGAAGCTGAAGCAATGCCATACAGAGTTATCCTTGGACAGTCAGGTGATACACTTGCTGAAGTGTCTGCTTGTAGCACAATGGCATATCCATGACTATCATCCTGTTTCTAATCTAAAAGTTCTTCATTTATTAGATGTTGATTATATTACAGTTGCAGAGGAGCAATTGCGAAGCACTCAGGGGAAGCTCTTGCTAGACTTTAGCAGCGTTACTGAGGCTGAGGAGTATGTCATCATTTAACATTTGATATACTATATGGGGCCTTCTTATTCCCATTGAAATGAGAGGTGCTGACACTAAAGTCAGTGGGCACAATTTTCAGAAGAAAACTTGATTCAGGTAAGTAAGCTTGCAGCTGATTAGCCAACCCCACCTCAGACACATTCTCAGTTATGCAGAAGGCTGCAGAGCAAAAATCAGCTCAACTGGAATAAAATAAGTATATCACAGAGCCATTTTGGATAATATGAAAGAATGACATTAACACTTTCATGCAAGATTGACCATAGCACTTTTTTTAAAGTTGACACAATGCCTGAAAGTTATTACACTGTAACAAAACAATATGAAACACTTCTTTTTCTCCTTCTTCTGCAATTACCACTCTTCCTTAACTCTGAAATAGAATTACTCTGAATTTATACCAAATAAGAGAATGAAGAGCTTCTCTTCTCTTCTCTTCTCTTCTCTTCTCTTCTCTTCTCTTCTCT